GGCGGAGGCGAACATGTTGAGCAGCACCAGGTAGCTGCTGAGCTTGCAGAGCGCCGCGCCGAAGGGCCAGTGGAAACGCAGCGCCGTGTAGGCCGCCCACAGCGGCAGCGTCACCACGAAGGCCAGGTCGGCCAGCGCCAGGTTGCCGATGTACGTGTCGGCGGCGCGGCGCTTGGCCGGCGCGCCGCGCCACACCGTGAAGATCACCAGCCCGTTGCCCGACAGGCCCAGCACGAAGACCAGCATGTAGAGCACGGGCAGCAGCGAGAAGGACGCCTCCCAGTCCACATCGGCCTCGTCCCAGGGGCACTCCAGCGCCGCGCTCCAGTTGCCCGAGCCCTCGTAGTCCTCGTACGCGTACCCCGCGTACTCGGCGGGATGCTGGGCCTGCGCCATGCCGCCGCCGCCGCCCTGCCCTCTCGCTCCCGCGCTCTTGCCGAGCGCCCGGCCGGCCGGGCTTTAAGGCACGGGTCCCCGGCGAGACACCGCCCCCGGCGCGGCGCGGCGCGGCGAGGGGGCGGGCGGCCGGGCGAGACCCGCCCGTCGAGGGCGCCTGCCTGCCTGCCTGCCGAGGGGGGGCCCTTTTCGGACGGTCCCCGCAGCAGCTGCCGCGGCGGGCACCTTTCCAGCCCGCGTCCCGCTCAGCGCGAAGCGAGCGACGGAGCGCCCCGGAGGGAGGGAGCTGCGGGCAGCCCGGACGACGGAGCCGCCAGGCTAGGAGCCGCTGCGGCTCGCGCACCGGCCAGCCCCGCTTCCTCCCTCGCGAGGGGCGCCCCTCAGCACCCCTTTACGCTGCGCGCCCCGGGGCTCCCCGGCCGGGTGCCGTGGCGCCTGGCCTTTCGACGCGCAGGCCACAGCTTCAGCGCAGGCTCTGCCCCGCACGCAGCTTCCTTCATCTGGAGCGGGGACTGGAGGGGCTGAGTAAACGGTCCGAGGAGACAGCTTCCAATGTGGAACGGGGAGAGCAGGCGTCTGGTCTCGGACAGAAATGCCGGCCAGCAAACAGCCTGGTGCAGAAGCCCGCTGGCCTGGGTGCGAACTCCTCGCGGCTCGCTGCCAGGATTCCCAGAAGGGGTAGGAGGGCACAGACCGTCCTGCAAGACCCCGCGCCTGGCTCCTCCCATCGTTCATTGCAGCAGTAAGATTGTGAGGAGGTGGTTTTGCAGCACTCTGGTACAACTGGGAGCAGAGAATCTGGGGGACTGCTGCAAATCACCCAGAGATCTGTCGGAGGACTCTACCCTCCTGCCTGCTCGCCCTGTGCCAGGCTTATGCTGCCTTCTCCCAACTGAGCTTTCCTGCCAGGATGGGCTTCCTCCAGCCAGAACCAGTTCCTCCCCAGTTTTCACCCTGCCCCTCCTTGTGGGGAAAACTCTTGTCTCCGATAAGCCATGCATGCAAGATCAGGATTTGTCCTTGGGAAGCGGAGGCGGCAGATCCTGGGGAGGAAATTGCCACATGATTTGGGCCAGCTTATTCCTGAGGCTTGTCCCTCAGAGACTTGTTGATCCCCAGCTGAGAAAAGGCCGCAGGTGCTGGGATGCAGGCACTAACGGGCCACGGGGAGCCAGGGGTGTCCCAGTGAGCTTGGTGGAGGGAAGGTGAGCCCACATTTCCACTCCTACCTTCACCAGCTTCGAGGAAGTTCGGCCTCTGTGTGGCAACAGCACCGTGCGCTAAACGAAGGCAGGCTCTCACCAAATACCATGTGAGGCACTTCAGCTAAAGATTCTAGTCAGGGAAAGGGGGTGGGGCCAGGGGGTCTGTGCTGGATTGGGACCCCAGGGGGCGGGGAGAGGTTCCAAATTTATGGATTAAGAGGATTTCCCAGCAGCGTTACGGAAAATACAGATTTTGCAAAGGGTGTCCCGGAACATGAGGCAGCCGGCACAGAGCTGCTTGTGGGAGCAGGAGACCTTCGGCCAGCTGAGGACGGTGGAGCCCGAGGGGGGATGTCCTGGGAAGGGAGGGAGGCAGTGGAGACACGTCTCCATAGCTCCTCCCCCTCACTGCATCTGCACCCCTGCCACCAATTTTGGGACACGGGAACGGCGGCAGACAGGCCGGACCAATCAGCCCGTCCCCAGGAGGTTGTTGAAACGAGCACATGCAGAGAGAGCGCTGCTTTGCGGCCCTCGTTCGCCTCCGTGAGGCTTGTGCAGGAGAACTTTGCACTGGGTCCTGCCCCGTGTCCGTCAGTGAAAGGGGAGCCCTTGAGCACTTTTCCCCCAGGCCCTGCCAGAATGTCTCGGGCCAGCCCTGTGTCTGGGCGCTGAGCTGCCCGGTTGCCACTGTGCACTCCCCCCCCCCCCCCACAGCTGCCCCACACACCTCCAGAGACAGAAAGAGGATTCAGAGCCCCAGGGAAGAGAACAAGGGAGGCTGCTGTTCTGTTTTCGCTGGACTTCATGTGGGAATTTTCCAGACCGGATGCACTATTCATCGGGGAAGCGTGAGGGGCATTCAGCTGCCCCCTCCCCCTGAGAAAGCCACCGCATGGGGCTGCAGATCCTCACACGCACATGTAAAGGTAGCAATGCAAACATCACATCTTTGTGAGCAGCACTGGGATCCGTGCACAAAGCGCGTATCTGCGCACTTAGCGCTTGTGGCCCTACAGTCCCTGACATCAGGTTTATGCATGGGGGGAATGTTCACCCCAAATTGCAGGAGGAAAGGAGGGAGATGGGGAGAAGATGCTTTGTTGGCTTGCTCTGATATAGTTCCTCTTCTCAGCCAGAATCAGGGTGCTCCTGAACAGAATGCAGATGCAGCCAGACAGGACGCCTGGAAAAGTTCTGCTAATGCAGCTGGAGTTCTGTCCAGGTTATGGCCCCGCAGCCCAGCCCTCCTGGATTCGGCACCCTCTGGATGTGTTTAGCCATCCCCAAACCTGTAGCACCACCCAGAGGGCACCTAGCTGCCAATAGCCACCTGGAACACAAGCACCACTTTTGCAAGATGACCAAAGTGCAAATTGAAGCACACCAAACAATATCAAGCCAGACGAGTGGCACACGAAGCAAGTCAAGGCGGGGGGCGGGGGGGGCTGTCTGTAATACTGAGGGGCAGAAAGGATTAAAAGTCCAACCAAAACTGAAGGAAGGGGCCAGACTGGCTGCCCTGGGGAGGGAGTTTTGCTCTTGGGGTGCTGCCCCAGAGAAGGCCCTGCCACATGTTCCCATCAGCCCAGCTTCTCCTGGTGTGGGACACACGCTCAGAAGGACACTTTCCTCCCATGAATAATTGCTACTGCTCAGTAGGCTCCTCCACCTTGATTGTCCATTTGTGTAACTTGCCTTCAAAGCCAGCCAGCGCAGTGCCCATCTCCCCCCAGGTCAGTGGCGATGCAGTTCTGCGCACGTTCAGTTCAAAGAAGGTCTCCCTGCATTCCGTGGGACTCAGTTGCCATTCAGTGTGTTCACGCACACAGTCCAGATTCTAACCAATAAGTATGCAGATACTTTTCTGGAATTTGGCACCCTAAAGCAAGAGTGGGCAGAGTTTCGCTGGCCTGATGCTTCGAACCGAGCTCCAGCCCTCCCTGCCAGTGAGCCCGGTGACCAAGCATGGAGGGACCCAGAAGGACGGGCATCCCAGTGGCAAATGTGCTTCGAGGTCAGCAAGTGTCGTGTTGGGGCAAAACATCCCAGCTTCAGGTATATGCTGGGGGGATCTGAGTGAGCAGCCCCTGAGCAAACAAGACTTCCTGGGGAAGTGACCGGCAGCCCAAAGAAAATGCTGACCCCGTGTGCAGCTCCTGTGGAAAAGACTCTGTCCACGTTAGGCCTAAGTCAAAAAGGAATGGGTGCTCAACCTGTTCTGGGTGGGGTGCCCCCCCGAAGGAGCAGGTTCATAGCTTAGGGGTGTTCCTTGGTCCATCTTGGTCCCTTGAGGTTCGCACGGCACCAGTGGCTCAGAGTGCCTTCTTTCAGCTTCGGCTGGTGGCCCCGCTGTGCCCCTGCAGCCTGGCTTCAGCAGCCTACGCTCTGGATTGCTGCAATGCCCTCTGCCTGGGGCTGCCCTTGAAGACGGTTCAGAAGCAGCAGCTGGTGCAGCATGTGGCAGCCAGGTTACTAACTGAGATCAGCAAACCTGGAAGACTGGTTCTGGCCCTCCTGCGCTGGCCGTCTGCGTGCTTCCTGTCCCAGTCAAGTGCTGGTTTTAACCTACAAAGCCTTATACGGATTAGGGCCACAGGACCTGCTGGAGTGCCTCTCCCAGCCATGATCTACTCAGACGCTGCGCGCAGTCTCTGGGGCCTTCCTCTGAAAGCCAACTCCAAGGGAAGCGGGGAGGGTGGCAGCAGTGGGGAGGGCTTTCTTAGTTGTGGCCCCCATCCATGGAATGACTCCCCCGCTGTGCTGAATCTGCCATCGTTTGGCATCAGGTCAAGACAGTCCTCTCTTCTGAGGCTTTTACAGACTTACTTGGTCACCCGGGGCACTGGGGGACCACCGTGTGTTTTGCACTCATTCTTTTTTGTGATTCCTGGTTATTATCTATTTTATTACCTGTTTTAGCTGCTACTTTTTAATCTTTTTTGTTATGTTATTTTATTTTAATTGTTTTGGTGGTCTGTGTAAACCACCCAGAGAGCTTTGGCTGTGGAGCAGAATAGAAATGAAATAAATACACCCAGCTTAAGAATGAGTTCCATTCATGAGATCATCTCTAAGTTGACTTTGTATGTAAGTTGGATCACATATATAAAAAGCATTAAAAAACCTTAAAAAACACTTCTGTATACACTAAAACATCTTAAACGCAATACAGCATTCAACAATGATGATAATACAGTAATAAGAAAATAACTACAGGTACTGAAGAGAGGAAGAGAGAATTTATGTATGTGTGTAGGTATACAATACAGTTCTTGCAACTGTTCAGATAGAAAGATAGAAAAAAATAGCTAAAAGGTTATTAAAGGTTAACACTTCCTGAGTGAACATGAAGCCTGACATTAACTGGATGATGATGGAGATGGGACTGGAGTTCTAGAGGATGGACCTGGTGCTGGGGGTCAGGGTTTGGTGGTGCGGGGGGGGGGGCAGACAGGGGGGTTACCCCTGGTTGCTTTCTAGTTCTGACTTCGCCGGCGCCACTTGCTGCTTCCTCCTCCTCCTCCCCCCTTCCCCCCTCCTTCCGCTCCATGGGGCCTGCTGCTTGCTGCCCCCGGGCACCCGCTCATGCTCACTTCCTGCTCAAGGACTTCCAGGTGTGCTCACTCATAAGCAGAGGCTGTTCTTAACTCGGATGTTCGCAACGGGGGGCCCGGG